TGCTAAATTATGGACGGCTAACGCAGATAGCCCTCGTGTAGCTTTGCGCGAAATTTAAACAAAACAATCATATCGGGTATCATCTTTAAATACTTACATTTACGTCTATCAGAATAGTTTTATTTTGTCTACTAATTAGAGGCTTAGTTTGAATGTTTTTTAATTCATAATCTTTTTGCTGTAGAATAAATAAAACGGAAAATTTAAATTAAAGGTGCAATCAGTTGTGAGTAGCTTAACTTTAATTCAAAACTAACAGCATTTCATTAAATCTATTATTAAGCCCTGGTAGCTCAGCAGTAAATTCGAGGACACAGCAACAAAAAACAAAATTCAGTATTCACTTGTAGTTCCTTTTAAACGTGTTATAAATAAGGATCCAACCAGTTGGAAGAAGACAGGTTTTAAGTTTCTGAATATGAGTTGGACTCAATTTATTAAGAATTTCTGATCAAAAATGAGCTAGGTATATTCTTAAACATTGTAAAGTAACATGTACATCAATGAAATCAATCATAATATATAACAAATTTACTACAAATAATTGATATTATAAATCAGTACCCAAGAAAACTAAAAATATATAATGATTAGATTGCACTGGGTCATCAGCTGTTTATTCTTGCTGTTAATAAGATTTTCAGCAGTAATTCCAATAATATCTTATGAAATTCGGCCATCGTAGGAGATTGAACCGAGTACCAAATGCATACACTAACTCAACACTCTTCACAAGCGTTCAACTAGACGACATCTTATCCTACCACGTGACTTGTGAACTGGCTAAGCGACATCTAATAACGGATCTCCCTAACTAAGGGATATTTAATAACGGATCTTCATTACAACTAATAAGATTTAATTAAACCGATTGTGTCGGACTATGGATCGAAAGTTCGCGCCCCGTTACTAACAGGTAAAAAATATGCTCCTCACTTTGGAGCCATGGATACGTTACAAGAGTGACGGTTAAATCCACTGTTCGAGTTGGCAGAAGGTGGTGTTGAGTAGCTGCCTTTCCTCTAATGTACCATTTCAAAATTGTAAGCGGCTATCGCCCTCGAGCAGTTTTCGCGAAATTTAACAAACAACATTAATCCAAATATAAAGAACAATAGAAAAATGGGAATTATGTTTATTAACTTAGAAAGTTGCTGATTATAAAATGATGGAAAGCATCATCTATGATACAGAATAAATATTGATTTCCCCTTTCTTGAGAGTTTTTTAAGAGTTTTATGGATTGTTTGTACCGGTGAATATTGTAGCTCGAAAGTTTTTTGAAAAGTTCCATTTATTGAAAACAAGTTATGCAGCTGACGCTGGCAACTTACTGAACACAGAAAGCTCAAGGCGAAACTCGTGGCGCGTCATTCTACTTCAAAACAAGCTTTAGTTCTCAGTTAACATTTGATCTTTTAATCTTGATCGGCAATACTGGATGAAAGGAGCAACTGCAATATATAATATATATATATATATATATCACTCTCACCCACAAATAAATAATTTATATTACCCAGTTAGGAGTTTAGAAACAAAATAACTGAAACATTAGTGATTTTAAGTAAATCAATTTATAAACAGAAATCGGGTGGATGAGCCAACTGCTACCAAAATAGTCGGTCTTTTCTACTAGGTATGGTAAAGAACATTGTAAGTCGATACTCTAACGAAAACGACACAGCATATCTATCAAATTTCTAAACCTAGGTCAAGAGTTGGCGGTGGGTGGTGCTGACTAGCTGCCTTCCCTCTAGTCCTAAAGTAGCTTTGTACGAAATTCAAAACAATCAAACAATCAGGCAAAAACTGTCAACTTTCAAAAATGAAATCATCACCCTTAAAAAAAAAATTAACCTATGTATGGCGTAACTGATGTTTCTATTACTCATGTACCTGTCTATGGTTGTATTTCTAAAGTTTCTATTGTATAACTCAGTATGACTTTTCCAGGAAGATAAGCCATGCAAGATAACTCGACCCATCCTTAACGAGGTTTAACATAAGTTAAAACTGCCATCCAACATAATTTGTTTTATTATTGGCTTTTATGCGTTCAGTTTGTTCGAATATTAAAATCTTGACAAAGTTTTATGTACAGCTTGCATTTGAAGTTCACCAATGAACCGATAAACTAAAGCTTATCAGGTTAGTTTTACAAGTGTGTGCTACTTGTAATATACATCATTATATTAGAAATAAATCGTGACACTGTTAACTGCTCAAACTGGTTCATCAGAGTCCCTGCTGTTTTTGACATTCAGTCTATTAAAAGTTACGTGACGTAGTTGTTGTAGACAGTTTATATAATCTTGTCTGTATATTAAAACCTCGTAATGAAAGTGTAAATTGGTCAAGCAAGTTTATGAAACGTTATGAGAAGTAAAGATTAATGTGTCGACTGTAATGTTTAAATCGATAGTCAAATCTCCGTTTACTCTCTCAAAGTAGAAGTGTGAAAAAACACATCGTTGCTAAAAAAAATTAAGTTGATTTAAACTATATTCAGTCACAGCATGAGATAAGCTGCTAGATATAACTTGCTCTAGTTTTCATTTGATTAATACTGAATATTAAAAAAATATTGATACACTTTTATAAAACAATTCATTGTTTTAACCTGATAGTAGACCTTTAAAATATTTGTGGTGTTTAATTATCACTTTATCCTGCAAATTCCATGCGATATAGTACAAACTGAATCGATTACAGCTGTTACACAAAGTGTTACCATAGTTGTAATAATTATCCACTACACGTTAGCTAATTATAATTCTAAAGTATTAAAGGTATAGAGAATTATTACGTTAAAATGATTTATGATGAGGTTGACTATTTTGGAGCCTCTTTCTATTCCATATCGCCACGTCCGGTCATGCTCTACCTGACGACCGTGCATCTTGACAATAGCCCTACGGCGTAGTTTCGTTTGCAAAGGTCTTTATTTTGAGGGCTTTCCATCTAGTGTACGAAATCTACGGTTCACAGTGCCTGTTTTAACAGTCCGATCGCAAAGAACTCCACAGGTGTTGTGTTAGGTGACTTGACCGATATATCTTCCTATGGAATAACACGAATACTCGTTTCATTAGAATATCATGAATACTCGTTTCATTAGAATATCATGAATACTCGTTTCATTCTCCAATTTCTTGAAATGTGCGACGGTTGAACGGGAGGTAAGAAAAAAAACCTTATCCTGATGAACAAACACCCCGTTGGCCTCGTTTCCGGACATGGATCCTTCCTGATTATATTGGTACTGTTGCCTGGGGTACATGGATGGCTTGATTAGGACCGATAAAACTAAGTGAGAATAACTTTGTAACGTTATGTTAAAAACAAAGTTCAGCCTTATCAGAACTGAACATCTATATATATAACGAGTATTTATCAATATAAAAATTCGTAATTATTAGCAATATTTGATATTCTTTGACTTTCTTAATATGTTTCTCCTTTAAGCAAACATAGAAAACTTGATTGTATGAAGACAATAACATAATTTGCTCATAACCACATTCTTCGTTATTATTTGTATTCTTTACGCAAGAATGGCGCTTTCTTTTAAACTGTATAATAAGTGACTTACCCTCACCAAGTACACAATATCAATGAGTTAGATGAAACTAAACATCTGATTCAGGCTGGAGGCGTAATAAAACACAGTGGAGAATGTTGAAGACGCAGACCAGTTGTTCCTTAGAACTGAAAGAACTCTCACTTATCTTGCT